AATCAGATTGCGTTTGTTTAGTGATAAAACATTTTTTCTATTAACATTACTTAAACTTAAATATTAGTAAGGATTGATTTTTTTTTAAAAGAAATAGAACTATTAGTTTAAATACATATATTTTAAAAGTCTCTCTTTGCTCATATGAAAAGTTTTTTTATTCCTTTTTAATTAAAAAAAATGTTTCTTTCTCAATTTTTTGATTAAAAAAATAGCTTAATGCTTGAAAATTGAGATTGTAATTAAGAATTTTTTCGCTTTATAAAGCAAATTTCTGTAAAGTTTATAAAACAGATGCAATTGATTTTCTAAAATTGTCTAGAGATGTTAAATAAGATTTGAAGAAAATTTTTCAGTTATAAAATAAATAACTTGTTTTAACTTTAATAAAATTTTATTACAATTTAGGCATTGGAATAGAAGCGAACTTAGTAAGCAATATTAAACTCATATTAATTGAATGAGATAAAATATTTATTTATCTAAGACAATTAGTAAAGAAACCTTCGAGTTATTAAAGCACTTTTAGTTTCTACAAATGAGGGCCAATTTTATTGATAGTTCATAATTCAAAATGTTTCATCGTAAAATTCATTTGAGACAACGTTATCCGAAAATGGCAAAAATAATTTTAATAAAGTGCTATCTCATTGTTTAATGCTACTCATTATTGTCAGTGATTTGCATAAATTCAATCTGTTTTCTGCACCATAATATGCTATTTTTTTTCCTTAATACATTTTTACTCAAATTTTTACTTATTTTGCTTTATATCCTTTTTAAAACAAATAATTAAAATGATTAAGAAATTTTTAAACAGATAGTTATTCAAATTTTTTTAATACAAAATTTCTTGTTTTGACCATTTGATACGAAAACATTTACCCATTTGAACCGTCGCTGATAACCCATTGAAATTTTCAAGGAAATGATTTTAGTAAGCAAGAAAAGAAAAAAAAACTAAATAGTGAAATAGGGTGCATCAATTATCTCTTATTTCTACGTATGCAAAAGTAAAATATTTGTTAGTTTGAACATCACCTGTGTTTCAAGTTTTATTAAGTAATACATTTAAATTATTTTTACGTGAATCGAGTATTTTATATGAGAGTATATACATTTAATTTTAGTTATTGAATTTTCAGTTTTTAAATCCCACTCATTCAATAGATGCATATTAAATAGATATAAATTTCTAGCTGACCAATACCGCACTTACAATTTTTATCTAGATAGAGTAATAAATATGGGAGAGTTTTTAGTTGTTACATTTTTAACAAGATCCCATACGATATAAATTTCTAACTAAATGATATTTTATTTGCTATTTTCATGTACATGGAATTAGTATGTAAGTCTTTTTAGTTTTTGATTATTTAATTTTAATGTTTAATAGATATAAATATGTTGCAAAATAATGCTTTGCATATCAAACAATATTTCTTAGTTTTGCGAATTATTAAAAATATGTAGTAGTAAAAATTAAAAGCACGAACTTTAAATTTTACGATTTTAATGTTGCTTGATTTCAACAATAAATAGAAATTTCTAAAAAAATTATATTATATGTATTTAATTTGCTATTTCACAATAGTAAAATGAATGAGATGAAAAAAATTCGTTAAAAAAGTGCATCAAATTATTTAAAAATGTTTTCATAACCATATAGATAATTTAGTGAAGTAGTAAAATAGAGACACCAGGAAAAAACTTTTTTTCCAGGACTTAATTTTAAACATACAATGAGAAAATAATATAGTCAAAACTGTATATGGTAAAATTTACCGAATTTCTTGCTCTATTCTAACTTTCTTGTTCACTAAAAAGCTAGGTAATTATACCGAAAAGCTTCAGTACTAATTTTGGTAAAATTATCAATTGAATGTGGTAAAAATTTGATAAATGGGGTAAAATGCAGAAATTTTATCATTACATCTTAGTGCGTGGCATTAAAAACATTTATTCGGTGAAATTTACTTGTCAGTTTTGTATTTTTTATTAAATTTTCGCTAATAAAAACTATAATATTGAAAACCGGAATTTCCGGTAAAAGTTATTATATGAACGGAAAAATTACTAAATGAATGATTTAAATACCGTATATTTTGGTTTTCATTACCAGAATTATATTTTCTTTTGTCAGAAGTATAATTACCATATAATTCGATAATTCTACCAGAATTTTTCCATGCTACGCAGATTATTTAACAATTTATAAGAATAATAACCTAAAAATCAATTACGATTTTCATAGGTTTAAATAGGTCTTAATTTTATGGAAATTGCATGATGGATTTTGTGAAATATTTCTTTTAATATTAATTCTATGTATCCCATATGTTGTTTTGTAATTTAGATTTTTTTGAAATTCATAAAATTATCGATAATTTTCATAAAAATTTTTCTCACGTTATGTTTTATAGAAACTTACTGACCTGTTTTACTTTAATTTGAAATGTTCAACTCATGGCAACTAGTTTTAACTAATAAATAGAGATTACTTTCTCTATAATATTCGAGTGAAAAATGATTTTATATATTAATTGTGTATTATGCCTTCTTTTTTTCTGTAAAAAGTGTCTTTATTCAGCAATAAAATATTTTTCCATTTTACAACTTTTTTGAATTAACATTAAAACTGTCACAGTTCTCATCATCGAAAAATATTTAATTTTGGTAATTTAAGTTGAAAATTAAGCAATTTAATTTGAACTTAACGTAACAAAATATTAACTATATTTAGTCAAATAAATTTCGTTAAATTTGGAATGTAATAGTTATTTTTCACATCTAATTTTATTTTTTTGATATCATTTTTAAGTTTCAGTTGATTATTATTAATATGTACAAATAATAATAACGTATTTTATCTAATACCTTTTGTTCTAATATTGAACTTATATTTATTTTTAATTTGAAATAATCTAAAATTTTATTTTACTAACTGAGCCCACCGTCCTGTGTAGGAGTCAGGGAACTGCCCTTGCATCAGAAAGGTTCTGGGTTCTAATCCCGAGCAAGGCATGGATGTTCTTTCATTCCCTCTGCACTCTCTATCCTTACTGTGGAATCAACGTTGGCCCACCTAATATGGTGCCACAGAAAGAGTGGTCCCTTTAGATGTCTGTATGACGAAAGGCCTTTCCCCAGGGGGGACATTGGCAAAAACATTTACCAACTGATTATTGAACTGTTTTATAAATTTATAATTTATTAGAATTTATTCTTAATATTTTTAATATTGCTTAAAAACGATTATTTAATTTACTTAATTTTAACGAATTAGGAATTGCAATTATTTATTTACTTTAAAAACATATAATTCAGAGTATGGCGACAATTATTGTTCGACAATTAAATTTAAAATTCCTATTCGAACTTTTTTTACCAAAACTGATTTAACTTATCCTTACTTAACTTAAACTTAAATATTTAACTTTAAACTTAAATAAAGATTAAACTTTAAATTTTTTTTTCTTCTTAGCAACTAAGAATTTTTGAGACTGAATATTTTGATCATTCGATTTCCTTTTAATATATCATCTTATTCACTAAATCAATTCTTATAAACATCATTCCTGATTAGCGTAAGATTCGGAGGGAAATAAAACTATTGATATGTAATTTTATTCTAATATTAACTCAGTTTACTTGTAATTAACTATTTATTTTAAAATGAATGCAATAATTAATTTTAAAAATGTTCGAAACGAATTTAATTTTTTTAATTTATACATACATGGCGTTTCATTGGCTTATTGAATGTGTGATTTCCACACAGGTTAATATAGCTGGAAAGTCAAAGTGACAAATCTACTTAATGCTTCTCAAATTAAACTAAGCAAGGTAATCAGACCACTTATTAAATACGAGTCTAACTGAATAACTATTTATTTATAAACTTGTGAAATAAAAAATAAAAAACTTCCTATCAAAGCTAAAACAAAATAATTGAGTTAATCTGCGTAATCAACTTAATTAAGAAACACCTAGTTTCACGCCTGGGCTGTCCGACTTATGCATGTTACCATAAATGTTTCCCCGAAAGTACATCGATCATAATCTAACAAGTAATTTTCTACTCAGTCATCAAAAAATATAATGCATATATAAGAAAATCGCATTTTGTGGTTTTTTCTTCCTTTTTTCCCCTTGAATTTCGGAATATTAATATTTAAACTATTAGAAATAATCTATTTTGAGAAGTTAACTATATTACTTTCTTTTTTGCATGAGATATTTTAAAATAAATCATCGAACATTTAACTAATGTAGAATATGAACACTCTTCTTAAACTCATAAATAGGTAATTTTTAATTAATAATAAAATTCTTTTGATATCTTAATTTGCAGATCGATAAAATTTTTCTATTCTTCAACATAAACCGAGTTCCCTCTACCTTTAATCATTAGTAACCTCAGCCCATTTTCGAGGTTGTTCTAAAAATACATTGCAATAAAATAAAAATAAAAGAATATTTTTTCGACATGACAGCTTTCAAATATTCATTTCCTTTTAACTTACAGTTGATAATAACGTTTTATTTTTACTTAAGTTGAATTCAAAAGTAGTTTTACACAATATCAAGAAAAATGCGTTTAAATGTCACAAGTTTTAATCAAGGATATTTTGCTGGTCAGAGTTATTAACTACAATAAAAATGATAAGAAAGGCAGCAAATTCATTTCGATTAACCTAATGAACAATTTTGTGTACACATAAATATGTTATTACATAAATATGCTATAAATATGAAATGAAAAAAAAAATGGTTTTTCAATATGCGAAAAACGCTAAAAATTCTAATTTGTTATTTTTATGTCTAATTAAGTTAATTAAAAGTTTTCTTTTGTAGATGCAGATACAAATTTTTTAAATAGTTAATATTTTAAAATAGTAAACGTTTAAAATGTTTTGCGTCATTTTTCAAATTTTCTTAAATAAAAAATTGTCAAAACTTACAAAAAATAAGAAAAATATTGATTTGCTTTCATTTAAATTCCTTCTTAATTGATAGTTAATTTAATGGTTTTATTCTCGCATTATATTGACTACGAAAAAGATTTAAAAAGGGATAACTTCAATTTTTTCTGTTCTTTTCCTTTCTTCTTTAGGCTATCTCTGCTTGAGTGTTTCTTTCTTAGAATGTCTGTCGTCCTTGAAATTCTTGCTGGAAATTTCGTCAATTCAGTCTCAAATTAACTTGATTTTTCTTTGTCGTCTGTGTTCTTAAATAATCTAAAAGAATAAAAAAATTGTTTTGTAATAACTAATACATATTTAATTACATTACATAACATTTTTCAACTATGTGAAACTAATTACGAAACCTTAAAAAATCAAAGAAAAGGGTATACTATATTTGGTCTGGGTAAACATTGAATGATAATAATCATTGTGACACTTTCCTGTTTTTGTGGCAACTTTAACTTGTTGACAAATTTGTATAAATCATAAAAGTCTATTTAATTTCATAAAATTTAAAACAGTAAGAAATGAAATTGCATAAATATTTCACATAATTAGAATTGTGGAACAAATGGATAATGTTATATCGAAATACGCAATTTGCAACACCTTTTACATCATATTGAATTACTTTTATTTGAAAATTTAATTTTATATTAATTTTTCAGCGTCCTGGATTTTTAATGTTTGTAAGATGATATTTAGTTTATTGTTATTATTATTATTTCATATGATACTCATTAAAGACAACTTCACATTCGTTCAACAGCATATCTACCTCTCATAATCTGATTTTCCTATATAACTGTAAACAATCTACTAATATCATAAAGCATTAATTTTGGAATAATATGTTCTGCATATTTTTCAATATTAAAATAATAATCAATTGTAATAATAGTCAATAATACCACTTTAAGTGCATATTTCAAAACATCTTTTAGCTCTTTATTTTTATGATGAAAATTATGAAATCTATTTCAATGTTCTTTTTCGTATCGGTATTAAATTGGTAAGTCATACAATTTAACAGTAAAATAATGATTACATACAATTTAACAGTAAAATAATGATTGCATACAATTTAACAGTAAAATAATGATAAATCCCATTAATGACAGATAAAACCACATTTTAGTGTGCATTTTTCGAAACTTCTATGCTTTATATTAATAATGTGTTTAATAATGCTTCTATGTTTTATAAAGGAAATGTTCAGTAGCAAGATATCGTCTAACAGTTTGACAGTAAAATAATGATCTATCACATTAATGATAAACAATGCCACATTTTAAACTGCATTTTTCAGTTAGTTTTATTTCAGAACTGCTTTGTTTTGTTTATAATAAAAATTATGAAATGAATTCCAATTTTACTCTTAAGAATTTTTTCTCCGTTCTTCCAAAATGATTTACAGGCCTTTTTGATCATTTAAATCTTCTGGTTTGTGTTTCAAACGCTTTATAAATCAAAACGATAGCGGGAAAATGGCGCTTTTCGCTTTTATTTTAATTTTTTCTCTACTTATGATTAAAGCCATCCCCTTCGACTGCATGTTTTCATCGATTTTTCACACTCGTGCTATAGCTTTTAAAAATTCAACGTTTCGTAATTTACTTTCCCCGTCGCGCGTGCGATAAGTGTTGGAAACAAGAAAGAGAGGGGAGGGGAGAAAACTGAAGAGGATAAAAAAAATAAACAAATTAATGGATTCCGTTGCCATCGCTCTTTTTCTTTTTTATCTTGTTCGAAGCAAAACTCTCCTTGTCTGAAATTTCGGCTTTGTTCCGCGTCGTTAAAAAATGTTCTTTTTTGTTCATTTATTTTGTTTTTCTTTTATTTTTAATGTGGTATGTAAAATGATATATGGGATCGACGAACCATTAAATGGGGATTTGGCGTGACAGTAACCTTAGAAACAAAAGGCTTCTACGTTATAGTCAGTTCAATTTTGTAGTTAGTATAGGCGTAAAATTTTTGTATAGAACTTAAAAGAATTTCACAGTTTGTTTGCTTTCACCTAAATGTTTTTCACTCAATAATAAAAACTCAAATAATAACTCAATAAATTGCTTTTAAAACTCTGACCAATTTTAATTAAACTTCTTCAATTACATTAACGCTTTAAACAATGAGAAGGATCAAATAGGATTAATAGGAGTATGATCAAATATACCATTAAAATTTAACGTGCTTTTGCTTCTAAGGAAACATCAAAAACCTCAGTAATTTATGCCGCAGCACTTTGATAATGCTTTTGGTAAAGATAACTATTCTTTTTTACCAGAAAGTCGTACTACAATACGGTAGTTTTAACAGAACTTTTTCTCCGTGCACAGCTAAATTTAATTTTCATACCATTTATAATTAACTTTTTACAAACTGAAACAACATCATTACTTTTTTTATGTTAAAGAGATTTTAATTTACATAATATTAAAAATCTTAGAAGCCCTAACGTTTAACTACACTCAGAGATTTAATATCATAAAGTAAAAGTTCAAACATTTGGTTGTTTTAAATAATGGGAAATATCAGATTTGATTCTGTATATATTAAGAATAGTAAGCCCCGCCGCTGTTGTTTTGTGTGCTCAACGTAGCATAACATTTTGTTTTGTTCGTGAAACATATTGAAGTAAGAAACTTAAAAATACGAAGTTGTGTAGAAAATGTACGTGGAGTTGAATGGAATTAAAAAATTTATAATTCCATAATTAGTTCAAGAATTATTAACTTTAAATTCTTAGTAAAACGTGGCACGTGTCTACTGACGGCGAAAATACAATTGCCGAGTTAAAATTAGACATGCTAGGGAGATTTTTTCTTTTTTATGAACTCACCACGTTTTTTTTTCTTCCGAAATAGCAAAATTGTTCGAAAGCAATTGTGATTTTAAGAGCTTTCTTCGCGATTTTTGCTTTCATTTTTTTTCTCATTACATTTTGTTTTGGTGTGAAAAAACTATGAGAATAAAACAATTTAAATTTCAATTAAATGTAGCAAAATGTAGATGGAAGATGCAACGGAATAAAAAAAAAACATTTGACAGTTGGTTCGAGAATTATTAATTGTTTAACTTATAGTATAGAAACTACCATGCGAGATGATCTGTATCCCCCTGAAATACAACTGCGGAGTTGAAATTCGACATGCTGAAAGAGTAATTTATATTTTTTAACTTAACGTGAGTTTTTTCTTTTTGGAAATTATATTTTGTTTGATAGTTATTAGAATTTCAAGTGCTTTTTAATTTTTCTTCGTTTTTTCTCGTCAAATATTCATTTTGTCATCAAATTATCTTATGTTACAGAAAAACTCACATTTCTTTATCGAGATCTTTATTTTACAATAGAAAGAAAGAGATAAAAAAAAATTTATGCAAGCGATATTACCTAGTTAAGTTGTTATACTTAACTAGGTTATACTACTAGCATTAAATATTACTAGGCAATACTACTAGGTAATACGTAACAGTAACCCATTTGACTAGTAAAATTATTTCTCGGCACAAATTATATTCTTTAAATCAAATTTTTCTTTTCTGATGATTTCTCGTGATCATTTTTTTTTTATGATTATTTTTAAAATTTAGATAATCGTTCATTTCATTATGATTAACATATTGACAGAATAAAACTACAATAATTGTATTCTTTGTAAACGAAATGTTCTTTGTTTTTGTGACAAATCTTAAACTTTGAAGTGGAGATAAACAATGATGAATGCAGAGCAAATATGGAGGCTGGAGTGCGGAGTGAGCAGGGGCGGGTCCTTTTAATGCCCAAATGTATTTCTCTCTTTTTCATATTTTTAATTATGAAATTTATTCTAATTTATTCTCTAGAAGTTTTCCTTCCATTCAAAATAAGTTACACATTTCTGCATGAAGATTTAAATTTTATGTTTTGTGTTTCAAACTCTTTCAGCGTTATTTTATTCAAAGTGTTATTTTTAAAATTTTCAAAGTTATATTAAAAATTTTCAAACTTCATCCTTTTTTTTAACTTTATCCTCTCTAACTTTATTTATCTTTCATAACTAAAATCCCAATTGGAATCTTTATGAAATCAATATTTCTTTCTTTTTCGCAATAATAATTATGAAATTAGTTCCAATTTTCCCTCAAAGCATTCCCTTCTACCGAATAAAGTTATGAGGTTACTTATCAAGATTTAAATTTAATAATTTATGCTAAACTCTTTAGAAATCAAATCGATAGTAAGGCTTTATACTGTTATAACTTTAATTTTGAAACATTAGACTTTTTGAACTAAATATCCCCGAATTTTCTTTGTGTTTATTTAATTTTATTAGAAAATTAATAAGTAACTAAAATTTTCAGCACAAACGATTTCTGTAAAACAAAATGCTGCACGGAGTAAGTTATTTATACTATTTCATGCAACAGTTCTGTTTCTAAGACTATAGTAACAAATATTAACCCTAATCTATTATTCCAATTTAAAAATAACATTTCTTGATTTATCTCTCATTTATAACAACAAACATTTGAGTTGCAAACTAGGCCATTAAATGAATGTTTCAAAGTTTAAATATTTCTGAAATTTATCAGTATTATTTTCTTACACATTCTTGATTTTTTTATTCAATAGTTGAAATTAATGAAATTATAAACAAATTCGAATATATTATTTTAATTTTCAATTCTATTAACAATTTTGACCATAATTTATTTACATTTCTAGACAAATGGCTAGAATTCTATTAAATTCTTCGATTTTTTGTGATGATATAAGATTTGCTCCTCTTCAGGTTGCCCTTAACAACAAATTTGTCCAAAACTCAAACATTTATTTGAGGCACAGTAATTTCAAATTGTCCATATGACTTTTTATTTAGTGTAAACTATTGGATTTTGTATGCAGAGATTTAAATTTTAGTAAGTGATTTTAATTAGTACGAACTGTTTTTTATATTTAAATAATAAATTTTTAAAATAAGTTGTTTTATGTTCAATATAAATTCTTTTTTATTGAAACTTATAAGATAACTTTAAATTATTTTCATTTAGTATCGACTGTATTATATCCGAACTTTTATCTCAAATTATTTTTATTAAATACATATCGTATATCTAAATAGTATTTACTATTTTCAAATAATAATAACTCTGTTCAATATTATAATTTTTTTTTCAATTCCAAAGTTAATTTTTATTTTAAATGCTTTTAACAAAAACCATTCATGTTAGCCTAATGTTTCAATTATAAGAGAGGAATTTTTTCTGCCAAAGTGTTTTGAAGCCTTAAAAGGAAACTAAAGATTTAACAACTTTAATCTAAATATTTAATTTATTTTTCCGAAGAAAAAAAAGTTCAAATTTGATCCGTAAAAAGAGAAAATTTGCTACTCATAAAGTTTCAAAATATTTCGTCACAAACAATACTTTTAAGTCATTGCACTTACTATCCACCTAGTCTTACAAATTTCTGTATTATGACGGTAAAGTATGACTTTACCGTCATAACTTACAAACTCAACCTCAAAATGTTTTTCTTTTTGGAATATCCATACTGCATCCACCCTATTACTAACCCTCCGCATCCCTAATGACTAGGCGGCTCTTATCAATGCCGCCTAGACTGTTGGTCGCCCTTTCCCTTACTTTCGGAGCCGTATCTCTGACGTTACCTTCATTAAATGATAAGAAACCCATAATACCCACCTCGTATCACACCTGTATTAGGCCGCGTAAAGGCTCTGTCATAACTAATCGGTTAAAGGGAAAACAGATATACGAGGTTGTCTGATAATCTCTCTTGCAAGTTTTTTCGTTAATCAGAGTTATGTAGCTGCAAATATAAATTGTCACCACGCCAGCTATCGCAGATCGTGACGGGAATTTTGCTCATCACTGAAAAAGAAGGGTTGAATTATGGTAATTACGGATAGATTTTCCATCCTGATATGAATGATTGAGCTAAAGGCGTTGTTTTCACGGGTAGGTCCTGTTAAGCATATCTTTTTAGATAAATTAATTATTTTATTAAATAATAAATTACTATAGTAGCACATTTTTTAATTCTTAATTTCTTGAAACAGATTTCAAATTTAAATACCTCTATACAGATTTTAAAAACATTATTTTGTGAGAATAACATATTGATCGGTATAATATTAACTGAAAAATTATTTTTTTCCATATAAATTTTATAAACTTTAATCTTATATTTTTCTTGCAATAAACTTTACTGTTCCTTTTTAAATTCTTTTCTCTTTAATATTTTAAGAAATTTTCTAATTGCTTTTTGCTCATTATAGAATAATATTTCTTTATTTCTTATCGTAACTGTTGTTACAATTTTCTTCAAAATGTTTCAGAGAAGGCGAAATTAACTTTGCATAACTACTTGACATTTTTAGGTAATTATGTAAGTTTTTGCGTTTATTTTATGTTTTATTTTCAATTTTAAATTAACAGCAGCTAATGAAATAAATAAAAAGATGTAAGTACTTTAATAAGTTGTTTCCACATATTTTGCACCTTTATGAATTGTTGTTGCAAAACTATATAGTTTCATTAAAAAAAAATTTTTTTCAATTCTGATGTATTTAATATTTTTAAATAAATGGTGACATAATGCTTCCTACACGATGAAAAATCACGAGTCGTGTGGATTTACAAAATGATTGTTGACAGCTTATAAATCAATCCAATGGTTATGTCCTTCCAAAATTCCAATTAGCCCTTAGAATGTTAAATGTTTAGTTGTTCGCAATTTTACTCCATTCTGAAATAAATATTCCAACAGTTCTTAATATTCTCATCTCAAATAAGAAAAAATCGTATATCTTGGCCTAGGTCATTTGGTCCCTAATTTAAATTTCAAGAAATGTCTTTATGCTGATTACGTAGTTAGGAAATTTTCTAGCTCTGAGCCCTGAAACGCATTAATTTTAAACTTTTATTTCTTAGCTGTTGAAAAATAATTTTCCTTTATTTATTCATTTTTGAGTTTCTTACACAACCAGTAATTTCTCATTAAAAGAAGTAGTCAGTCAAGTAAACGCCCTTTATTTTTTTTTCGCTATTTTTTCAATGAGAAATGAATATAATGAATACTTTACTCAGATCATACATATTTATGATAGGAATAAATCAGACAAAAATAAACAACTTTTTGCATTTTATGTCCCTGCAAAGAGATTTAAATAAAAAAAAACTTATGCTAATAGTAGAACACAAATCATAATTCATGAAAAGGTTTAGTATTTCCTAAAATTTTAAAATTAATACATAAGAGTTTACCAGTAGTTTTAAAATCTTCATAAAATAAAATATTACTTACATCTTCTTAAAACTGCGTGATAGTTCAACTCTAGATTCCTCGTTAGTCCTGTTTATCGTGAAATTAAAATGAACTGCAAAATAAAAATATGTTATTTACATGAATTCACTTATAAACAAAACGAAAACGCGTTTTTGAATAAAATTTTAATATAATTTTTCTTCCTTTGTTTCCTTTTCACTTCATATCATTCTTTTTTCTAGAAATTTTAAGTGCGATTTTTTACTTTAAAATAAATAATTTCCTGCCTCTGCATTCAGTTGGAAATCAAAATAAAAATTACAATGTTTGTTTTAATTATAATTCTAAATTTAATTCTGAAAAATTAATAATTATATTAATTAATGTTTTTAACTTTTCTTTTAATTGTTTGTACTTTTATTGCTATATTAGTAAAATGTTAATTATGTTTTTACAAGTGAAAATTTTTTATTAATAAGAAGTAAAACATTAACAAAAAGTGTCGCGTGTTAGTTATAGTTATTAAGTCATTTAGGAATTTGTATTTGTAAAAGTCTATAAAAAAAAGTTTGTATTATTTTTTTTATTTTTAATTCTATTCTGTGCATTATCGTTGTAAATTTTAATGGAAATTTTATCTATAAAAAGTTATGTTTATCAAATGGTTTGAAACTATGTAGCATTTGCATGAAAAATTGCTTTAAGTATCCTATTATTAAATTGGCGTCCCAATTGATTTTTGGAGTGTGACCATATATATATATTGAACTAACTACAAAATTTAGTAGTTTATTATTTTTGCATGCATTTTAATTACAAGTACTACCAGCTACTTAATTTTTTTATTCTTTTTTTCCTTCTTTTTTTATTTCTTACTTTTCTCTTCCATTTTAACATGATATTATGATCATACTGCGGCGATTATGATATTACTAAATAGAAACATATTACACCTCTACACATTTTAACAGTTAAGAATTTAAAACCGCAATGAAGTTGCATTAAATTAATAGATATTATGGTTCATGTTACCGATAATATTTTTAAATGCTTCTGAGAGTTAATTTTTGAACATTCAAGAAAGGGATCAAGATAACAATTGAGAGTTTTTGAATTTGAGACCAAAACTACTTAATTTTTACTTTGAGATGACCAGGAAACCTTTGTTGACAAAATGAATAAAACCACTTCGCGTTTAAGAAAAAAAGGACTATGACGAAAAGCAAAATGAGATCTCCATAATAAAGTTTTAAAATGTTTTGTTAAATAAACTTCAGCGAGTTCCCGAGCTTGAAAACTTCTGTTATTTACACATGGTTAATTGAGTGTAAGCAATATTAAGATTTTAAAACCAGAATGGGGTCTAGAAAACTTACATTGTATCCATTTACTTTTGTTATATTAACGAGACGGAATGTGAGCACTGAAATAGCTTGATATTTAAGGAAGTTTTAATATTGAGATTGCATTCAAATTTACACGTCATTTTTTTATTTTTATATTTAAGTTCTAAAATGTCGCGATTCATTTATCGATATAAGAAAATTATTATCACGACATAATTAAGTGAACAGTTTGTTATGTTTCGAGTGTCATCTTCATTTTAGTTTCATTATCTAAAGGTAAATAAATTTTCAAGCTCATATAGGATGAGGTGTCTTAGCTTTATGCATTTAATCCTTCATTAGACCAGCTATAGTCTATTTTAATTTTTGCTAATAATACAACAAATCATAAGCTATTCCTTATTCCAGAAAATATAAATTTTGAAAAAATAAATGTGGAAATACAAATATGGAAAATACAAATATGGAAAATACAAATATGGAAAAAATGAAATTCTAACTAATTTCGCATATTTTCTCCACGACGAAAAATTATTTTACAACCTCTTTTTATATAACTGAAAACTACCATGTATTTTATTTTATTTTCCTGCTACTGTTTAATGGGGTGAAAAATTAGTCATGAATCTGTCTCTTTTTTACACCTTCACTCGAGACATTAGTCATGCCACGAAAAGAATATAATGAATGCTTCTCTTTAAGATCCAATTAAAATATGGATTCTCTTCTTATTCAAGTTTAACCTCCGTTTTCTTGGGAAGACATGACTCATAATTAAAACAATTTTTTAAACCTTATTTAACGCAATTAGGAGATGTAAGACTATTATTTTTGCACATAAAGGGGATATCTAAAGATGCATATCAAATGGCGAAACAGATTTCTTTTTTACTATATTAACGGTATCAACATTCTCTCTTAGTTATTTTTAGAGCTGAGGAAATAATAGATAAATCTGTGGAGAGCTTTTTTAAATAAAAGTAAATATGCATTTTGATTTTATTTATTTATTCATTTTTTTTTTGACAATTTATGTGACAACAAATAAAACTTAGATATAACGCTTTTAGAAAAGCTTATTAGATCAAGTTGTGGTTAGGTTAATATAAAATTTCTAAAACTTATTTAATCATTGAATTCAATTAATTAATAATGTTTAGACTTCATTAAATAATTCTAAGTTAGGATGAATAGGTAATATATTACCAATAAACTTATTTTATGTAATATCTTCAAATTTAAAAGTAGTGAGATTTAATTCTTAATCTCTTAACGAGGAGCATTTTTGCAAAAGATCAGACTGGAAAAAATCTGAAAATCCGTATGTTATTAAGAAATGCTATTGAGTAGTGAAACTGTAAGATTTATAAATAAAATTTCTTTATTTTTTCGTTTTGTTTTTAATAGTTATAAATTTGTAAAATTCCACTATTAATGTTAAAAAAAATTTAAAAAATGCTTTAAATCTAATAAATGATTCCACCTAATTTATAAAATAAATCCGATTTGAACCAAATAATTTAAATAAATAACGCATCGAAATTTAGATTTGACTTTTCTCTTTAAAATTAAATAAAAAAATTTTCCAATCAAATTTTTCTAAATAATTTCTGAAGTCAAGAGAAGGAAATTTATTTATGGCTCTTATTTATTTTTATGGATAATAATCCAGAAAAATATTTAAAAATAATAATTTAAGAAAATTCACTTTTATTTTTAAATTGTGTTATATCATCAAAATATATACCTTAACATCGTAAGTACTTATCCGTCATTGCGAAATTCTTTTTTTTTCATTTTTTCCTCAACTTAGTTAAGCTGTTGCTGTTGTTTAAATTCTGTAATTAAAAAAATAATTGTTAGTGAATTTACATACACTAAAAAAATATTAACAATATGTCATGCGTTATAAAATTATGCAAATTAAATAAATATTTAAGATTATAAATAGATAAAAAATATTTTAATACAAAAAAAATTTATTGGCTGTATTACTTCTTTTTTTTTTCTTCTTAGTCTGGATAAAAGTCTCTGACATTAAAAATGTAAAACACTAAAATATAAGGGTATTTTTCCTTCCAAATTAAAGAGTAGTTATTCTAAAATGTACGAGTTTCATGATAAGCAGAAAGAAAGAAGAATGTGGATGCATACATAAAGGTGGGACAAGCTCACATGGGTGTAACAGTTTGCTTATTTTTGGTGAAAAGAAGAGGAGTGAGGGTTGGGATATTATTAAGAATCGTGTATGTCACGAAGCCCTTTTTATCGTAAATACTCTATAAAAAAGTCAAATGAGTTAAATTTAAAACATAAAGTACGTTTTGAAAAAAAAAAACTTTTTCGATTTAATAAGAGGATAGAATCAAATTATTTCTTTTCCTTAATAGTCCCTAATTGTCTTTTCACTTCGATAATAGTTCAATATATTGGTATTTTGCGTAATTTTAATCAATTAAACTCAAGTTTTTTGTGTGTGAATTAACCGGATTTCGGAAGCACTCAAAATGTTTGAGAAATGTGTTAATTGTAAGAAATAAACATTATAGGTTAATAGGATTATGGAAATAAGGTTGTTTAAATAAACAATAAATGAATCAAGTATGTGCCGATATTTTGCTGGAAATGCACTGTAATATATTTCGGATCGTATTACGGTAAAATGTACCAGCACAAAAAATGCCAGTATTTTTTTTACCGTAAAATACATTTTTACTGTAAAATTTTGCGATTAAATTTATTTTATGGATATTGTCCGCAGGTTGCCGTAATTTGATCGGGAATATTTAACAGTGTATGCGAAAAAGAGTTAACAGTTTTTTACATAATTTAAAATAATGAACAAATCAAGTTCTGAATTGCATCCAATTATAAGGTTTTTAACAAGATTACTTTAATCTTCGATATTTAAAACCTTATATAAATCTTTAATATAAATCTTTAATAATGAGTTGTGAGACGAGTTTTAAAATTAATTATTTTCAGATATACGTTCAAAAGTTTTCTTAGTTGTCAAACACGCAAATTCCTTCGTTCGCTTATTTATTACTGTCTTTTCCTTTTAAATTTATGTTTAATTAACTAACTAGATAGATTTATAAAACATGGTAAGATTAATAAAAGCGATTCTTCCAACAAAACAAAACAACTAACTCTTTGTTTGATGTTAGCGTGTAATAAAGTATTCTAAAGATTTTCTTATTTTATTTCTTTTACCTATATTCTCAAATGTTTTTCTGTCTCTTAGATTTATAGAGAAACGTATATAAACATGGATCTTTTCACACCATCCACGTTCCATGTCACTTTTATTCTATACCATTTAAAATAAAATGCTTTTACAAACCAATTTAAGTTCTTTATAATTTAAATTTTTAGAAAAAAGTATCTGGAATACTTTAATTTGATTTTAAAAACGCTTATTTCGAGCAAAAAAATCTTATAATATTCCGTTTTTGTACTTTTGAACGTTTTCCAATTTTGGTGAAAACTTCAACTCAGTTTTAATTTTTAATCACAATAGACAAAAAAAGTATATTGTGTTATTTTGAGATCAAGTCGCGTTAGAAAATATCATTTACAGGTATGTTAATTTTGTATTTTAAGGCGTTATTTTAAAATTTGAATCTGTGTAATATTTTAAGCAATCCGCTATTGTTGTCCGTTTTACTACTCTATACTCTTGATAAATCATTAATGAACACCGTTTTAATAATATAACTGATAGATATTCAGAAATGTTAATCCTTCGAAAGGTTTTACAGGTTGTGCAAAGCTAAATTTTTTGCAAATAACAAAATACTACTTATTAGATCAAACAATTTTCATTGATACTATAGTACAAATAGTACTAGATTTTGAAAATTTTTAAGTCTAGTTTTATATTGTGAAATAAACTAGCAAAAATCAAACATTTTGTATTAAGAGATTAACCTGCTTGTACAAGTTTTACAAAAAATTCCTGTATTTGTGTACATATAAATAATGTGTGAATGAAATAAGCACAATATGGCTTATTCTTTTTCAAAAATAAATAAATAAATAAAAAATTTTAAAAAATATTCACTGTGAAAACTGACATGAATTTCAAGCAATCTTGTATGAATGAATAAAAGAATGAAAGTTGATCGGAGTAAAATTCAGCGAGGCTTGTCTGGGATGAAAGATTTTATAGCCGTGTGACTTCTGGATTTTATGGGCCGTTTGACAGGTTATTGTTCCTCTTTATCGCTTTCCAAGTGGCCGTAAGCTCACCCTAACGGCTACTTAACATTATGTAACATCGCAGCAGATATACTATTCTTTTTATGGCTGATAAAAAATTACATTTCTCCTTAAACGTTTTCAAATTATTTGAGGACAATTTCGATAACTAATATTGCTTGCTGTCGTTAGTATATTACTTCTTGTACGTTTTTTTTTTTTTTTTTTTTTTTTTTTTTTTTTTTTTTTTTTTTTGTTGTCAAAGACATTTAATTTATTATAATTTAATGTTTAAAGATCATTATTTCAATTTTGACAGTCAACTTATTTTACTTACTATTAATGAGCAATTAGTCAAATTGGTATTTTCCATTTTTCTGGCTTAATAAAACACATTTGTTTTTTTCATTAGTTTTCGGGGGGGGGTCCTATATAGTATTTTGACGGGTCCTTTGTAGTATTATGTTACGTGCAGTACGTTAAAATATTAAATTTTGTGATCGTTTGCCTGAGATTCAAAAATATTTTTGTATTTGTTTAAATCTTTTTTCTAAAATATTTGCAAATGGATTTGTTACCATTTTAGAATTTTAATGCTGAGTTTTATAATTTGCGGTATTGTTTTGTCAAAAATTTGGTTTTATAAGTAAATAACAGATAAAAAAGACCACACTTTGAAACGTGTATCAAAAAGAGAATGAAACATCCCAAAATGAATGCTACAAAATGAAAAAGGTTCGTTAAATTGCAGACTGAATTTACACCTGGCATTTTATGCTATTATGTGATTTTAGCATTGTTGTTCATTTTCCCTTAAAGTTTGCATTTGGTCATTTTAAGCTGTTCTTTTATCATATTAAATAACTCATTTTAGCAGTTAATATTTCATTTTTAATAATTAGGGAATTTTTAGCAGTTATCCATAACTGTAATGTTTATTTTTGTCAATATTTTTGACAGCTCCGTCAGTACTAATTCCGAAAAGGATGTGAAATTTCAATAGCATACAAAAATTGAAAGTTTTCCATTAAAAATTATAAGTAATTTTCATTGAAGTAAAAAAATCCCAGCAAATTGTTTATTATAATTTAAATAGTTAAATATTTTGTGCGTTTTGCAGTCTTAGATAAATGTTGTCTTCAAGTTAATTTATAACAAAACTGTAGATATATTTTTATTTTCCTTGGCGAAAAAACCTCATATTCAAATTAAATGTATTTTTCTAAGAGAGAGAGCGTGTTCACCACATGTTAAGATATAAACTATATTATTAATTCAACTTAGTTTAAATGTTCTGGTGCAATTCTCATAGCGTACTTTGCCGGCGGATATTTTTCATGATTTTAAGAAATATATAATTTATTTATTTCAAAAATAAATATACTAAATAAATTATACAAAAATAAATTACAATTCTACTTTTTTTCTTATTAGGTCCAAATGGCATGAGGAGAAGAGGTCGCCAAACTTACACACGTTACCAGACTCTGGAACTAGAAAAAGAATTCCACACCAATCATTACCTAACACGAAGAAGACGGATTGAAATGGCGCATTCCCTTTGTTTAACAGAGCGCCAAATTAAGATTTGGTTTCAGAATCGGCGGATGAAATTGAAGAAAGAAATTCAGGCCATCAAAGAATTGAATGAACAAGAACGCCAATCTCAACAAGCCAAGGCCACTACCACTGTATCAACCAATTCAAATATGACTCACTCCAGTTCCACCACCAATTCCAATCCCGCCAAAAATGTGGATGTTAGTGCGCCAATCAGTGCCACAAAAACGTAAGATCTGAAGACAATCCACATGGACCTAAGTTCCAAAATGCTTGAAGTTTTTATACTCAAGTTGAACTTGATGATCTTACGATCACTACTCAGCCGGGACTTAATGTTGTTCAGTATTGTTCCATTGAACATTATTAATTGGTGTGATTGAACAACGACTTTTTTTTTACCTCGGCTTCCCTGTATACGATGAAAAGCTGTACATAATACGTAAATTGAGACATTTTTCCCCTCTGTTCGCCGTTCACACTTCATTATGTTGTTTCAAGTATTCGCCAATGCACCTACATTGTATTTATTGAACTAAAATGTATTTCTGCATCTTCTCATATTGCCGAAAGATCAAGTGTAATCTTGTATATTTGAACTCATAATTTAGCTGTAATTTTGTCTTTGTGTCCAAGAATTACTTCCACCAGATGCCAAACAGTTGAGAGAACGTAAAAATGAGATTTTTAAAGACTATAACAACCATATTTTTACTTTAGATGTCATTGGTATTTGAAGCTCGCTTGTGATAGTGGTATAATATGAGTTAATTCTTAATCCGAATTTTATAAATACTATGAAGTATCCTGAAATCAAAGCGTTGTACATACCTAAAATAATACGTAAAATAATTCAATTTTCTCATCTAATACGTCTAAGAAAATATTTTACATTTTCAATCAATGCATAAAGGACTTAATTTTACTAAAATGTTCACAAAGTTTAAAAGTAATAAAAAATAATGCTATTACTTATTCTAAGAATTTTATTAAAATCATAACATAGCTGTTCAATACTGACGGCGTTAAAAAGTTTGAATCCAAATTAGGTAAAACATCGTTTTATTGCATATTAATAATGGTTTGTTTGCTTAATCGATTGTAGTAGAAGAAACAAATTACAATTTGATTAAAAAAAATGTGACCATGACAGAGTAAAACTATAAAAACTAAAATGAAATCAATATTTTTAATTTATAACGAAGAACAGCTACTCCAAATGCATGTAAACTGGTTTAGTTGAGAAAATACTATTTCTATTTTGCATTTGGGGAAAAGAAATTGAGGATCAAGTAGCAAACGCAACACATAACATAGGTTATCACAAGTCAACGTTTTTAGACAATAAAAATTTATGAAATAGACTCTACTAAGAATAGCAGAAAAATCGGGATAGTTGTCTTAAATCGCTTAGGTATTGATCACATATTGACTTAGACATATCCTTATTGACTTACATACTCTTCGCTGTAAAACATATTTTGACCCAGTGTAACTAATTTAAGATCCACTTTAGTAGCTTCATTCTGACATTGGTTTAAATAATTTAAGGATGACATGATAATTTTTTTTAGACTTCAAGAAAATAAGCTTTCATAGATCAATCCAACTTTTAATTCATTACAGAACTTTTTTCCCCAAACCAAGTTGTTGCCAAGTAAAACCAAACCGTTCACGGATACTGCGCTAAAAACTTCTGACTTTTTAAGTAACTATTTCTATGTTGAGACAAAAAGGAATGATAAATAAAATATGTATGAATATATATTTTTTGTTTTAAATGTATTTAGTTTTGAGGTTCGTAATTACATTATATTTACTTATTGTTAGTACGACAACTCATTACTTAAATCACTGAGCTGATTCCGTGAAGGTCTGCAGTTCAATCCCCATTGGTAGCTTCAAGCTCACTTAGCTAGAGTAGAGACCAACTTGGAAAGTTTTATAACATAATTGAATACCAGCTTAACATTATAAGACAGGCATAAAAGCGTTTGTTTATTTCAAAATGGTTTTTATTTAGAGTATGTGAATTTATGAATAAAATAAGAATTCCGCTCCGAGGGCTGTTAATCAGCTTAACAATAATACTTTGTTTTATTTTACAACATAATATTGAGTGCAAATCCAATTTTTTTCGAATTAACATGCCACTGAAAATAGAAAAAGAAATTTTGTCCCACCTTTAATCTTATAAACTAGTTACCACGAATCAAACGCAATATAATACGTAATGGCGATATCAAAAGTGTTCTGCAGAAATAAATTAATTTTAATTAATGTATTATAATAGTAAATATGTTACAAATATATGAAAATCAATTAATGTAGTGTTATACCTCTCCGAAGTATGAGGAAACCTAAAATATCCAGTTAATGTTTTAAATTAATGTCTAATTATATCTTACTAATCGAATCTTGTTTTTCTGTTTTAATAACTATACGGATGAAAAAAAATTTAGAATTACTGTACTGTACTATGGTAATGACATTTCAAGTTTTAAAAAAAAATCTGGTAATAAAACAAAATATTCGGTATTTAAACCATCCATTTGGTAATTTATCAGTTCAAATATTAACAGTTAAATGAAAAATTAAAGTTCTTAACTACTTAGAATTTTTAAATATTGAACTTCTTAACTTATAAACCATTTAACTCTTACTCTATTTTATAAACAGCTTTAAAAGCTGATTAATATCAGCTTATTACAAGTCTCTTTAGACGTCATTAACATTTTCATTTATAAATCAATAATAATACAATTCTTAAACATCAACGCATTTACGTTTGGAAATATACGTAAATAGTGCCTCATATTAAAACGTATTTATTCTATCCATATATACGTATTTGTATAATGTACTCAAATATTACGGAAAAATCGTTATTGATTTCAAACTGTAGAAAATTGTAATAATAATTATTGACGAAATACGTATACATGACCTCTTAAAATATATTTTTGTAAAACATAAACTAAAATATTTACAAAGTGCTATGTGATAATTCTTACGTAAGAAATGCTATATGGATATAAGAGGAGCACTAACCAACGGCATTAGAATAATCAATGTGTAACCTCTTATCTTGTAACGAAAAATAAGAAAAATTTGTGTAACATTTTAAAAACTTTATAACTGTTTTTCTCAACATTATTAATTAATCTATAAAATTATAACACTAAAATTTCCTAAAGTAGAGGTAAAAATTCAAAATGTGAGAAGATTTGTTTTTCTTACAAAAATTCTCTTTAATAAAACGTAGTTCGGCAATACATTTAGAAATTAAAGATGCAAGTAAAAAATAAATTTAATTTTTCCGCAGATAAAGTTAAAAATCTGCTACAATTTAATTTTTTGAACAAGACTAAGTGAAAATTTAAGTATTTTTAGTTCATATACAGTCAAACCCCGCTATAGTGAACACCCGGATATAGTGAACGAAATGCTCGGTCCCGTGCCTTGCTATACACGTATAATGTTATTTTCAGCGGATATAGTGAACCAAAAAAGTGAGGAAGTTGGATATAATGAACTTTTTTCTGTCTTCGACTGATTTCCTCCCCATTTTCTTTGTAATAATATTGAAATTTCTACTTCAAATTAAATACATATACCGATTTTTAAAACCATCTATAGAAACTGCTTTTATGTGCTCGAATGTCAGGTTAGACTGGTTTAAAAAGCGGAATAACAGAAATTCAGGAAAAATTATCTGAGAGTCGGGAAGCGTTTCCATATCTGATGTTGAGGATTGCTCATCAGCTAAAGATTACTAATTTTTATTTGTACGCAAGACGAAGAGTGATGAAAAATTACACATTTTTTGCTATTACATAATATTTTTCAGTCATTTATATGAATATAATGTAATGAAAGGGAGGAGTTTGGGAACCATTAGTGAAATTGCCTGCGTAACGGATATAGTGAACTCCCGGTTATAGTGAACCGAAATTTCGGTTCCTTGAAGGTTCACTATAGCGGGGTTTAACTGTATATAATATTTACATTTAGCAAATAATCTATAAAATTTGCTTTGTTTTGTCTTTTCATTTTAAAGCAAATCGCTATTGTTTGATAAGGAATAATCAAATTAGTAGGAATCGCTATTTATACGTCTATTTTTATTTATTGTGTCCTACAAAAACTAACTTCTACCTGTTTTAAAAAAAGGTTATACAGTCCCTTCTAGATAGAAATTTTATCTTTTATAAGTAATTTTTAAATACTTATCTCTGAAGTGCATGTCTTTTTAAGACTGAAACGAAAAAGCCACTATTTCAAACGAGCTTCATTTCCAACTTTAATAACAAGCAAGCTGTAACAAAATATTAAGTGTGAAAATGGCTTTAAATAGTCATTTATCCTCATGTGATTGCCAAAGTTCTAAAAGTACTTAAAAATCTTCAACTTTTTTATGTTGGAGTTCAGATTATACGTATTTTAAAATGTGTGTGTGTTTAACCCACAAATCAGTCATTTAAGAAAGTGAGAACAAATTTTAAACAGTATTCTAAATATACTTCTGTAGAAATATTCAAAATCGTGTAATAATATACGTATTTGCCGTAATTCTATTGGATTCCATCTGTTGTGCTTATATTGCACACTGTATCGGGTGCAATCAAGCTAATATATGTTGTAAAAATTTTGAATAAAATGTATTTAATCTTCATTATTGTTGATTAATCCACTGCCTTGTTATCGTAATCCACTTATTTGCTAAAAAGCGAAAAACAATTTATGTAAGTAATGCAAAAAATTTTGCTTTATATAAAAAGGTATACTTATGTACATACTTGTGAAATATACTTACTATACTTATAAAGTATGCTTAGATAAAAAACAAAAAAGCAATTTTTGCTTTTTCGTAAATATTGCTTAGATAAAAAAGCAATATTTTCTAAAATGTAAAACTCTCAATTTACCCAAACAATACCTAATTTACTTAAACGATACATAACGGACAATTCAATGTCATTCCGTTATTTTTGTGATTCAGTTTTCGAAAAAAAAAATTTCATTATAGTTTACAAAAAGAACTATTTACATCATTATTTTAAGTACAGAGCTATCTTTAAAAACATAAATTCCTGCTTTAAAAATTAAAACACGTATTGTTCTTTTTAAGAAATGAAATGCCATATGATTTTTTTTAAATTTTCATATGACATTTTGATTGAATTTTGTTTTAATTTTTTGGAATAAATAGTAGGGAGAGTGTTGATAAATTAAAGTTGAAAAATTTCTTGAGTATAAAATAATCTTCTATTAGTATGTTAAAAAGGACTTCTTTGATAAATGTGATATTCCAGATGTGAGTTTATTTTGCAAATAGGAAATATATTAAATCAATAACACTTTTTTCTTACCGGGCAAGTAGATGAGAGTGAGATACACATTTCATGAGTATAAAATATTAAATTTTTATGAAAAAGAAAGGTTACTTTTTTTGCTTAATGACAAATTTAACTGCAGGAATAAAATTTTTAGTATTTGCACCTAACAATTTAATTTATGACATTAAAAGTTTTTCAATGAATATTTTTTAAAGCAGTTTATTTTTAAGCAATAAATTAGATTCTCGGCAAAAAAAGTGCACTGGGAAAAAAAGCATCAGAAAAGAGTCCATGTAATACCACAAAATAAATAAATAAATAAAAAAAAAAAGAATCAATAAGTTTTGATAAGAAAATTTTTATATTTTGGAAATTAATGACAAATAATTAATGACAAATATTTTGGAAATTAATGACAAATAAGTTTAATGACCGATTGATGGTCATGACATGACCTAACAATCGATATACGTGTATTTTTCAAATTTCTAATCTGAAGTAAGTTAAGGGATGAGTGTGAGCAAGTAATAAAATTGATTATTTAAACTATTATTGCTTTTAAAAAAGAGCAGGTATAATCAAAATTGAACTGATTTTGACCTAAAAATACAATCTAAAGTGAGTAATCCTGACATTTTTGTCTATTAAATATTAATTTATTATTAACAAGTAAATGTAATACCAACTAAATAAAAAAATATTTCGGTATTAAGTATATTTTAAATATTTCTTAGAATTTTTTATTTATTTATTATTTAAACCGAATTTCATTTTTATTACTGAACTTTGATAATCAATATTAAATGTCAACTGAGATAATAATAGCATTTCGGAAATTTTCATTTTATAGTTACAATTAAGGAAATAAAATTTCGCTGGAGATTATTTTGAATTATTATTAATAAAATGTATTAAGATATAGATTTCTAATACATTTTCCATTGTACAAGGATTAGTTAAAATTATTTATAGAAGTATGAGAAAAGTTTACCGAGAAATTTTATACTGAAACTAAATTAATCTAATTTAGTGAGGGCACATAATCATAAGGTATCTTATGTACTGTGATTTTCTAACCAGTTTGATATTTAGCTTACACTGAGAAAAAAAGTATGGTTAAGGCTATCAGAACATGATAACATTTAACGTGTCTCTATGGAAACATCGTATTTCTGTCGTATGGTGAGTCGTATTTCTTACAAAAAGCACTTTGCTAAGGATTTTAGTAAAATTAACAATAAAAGAAAGTTTTTTAATATGTCATAAATTTGGTAAAAATTGGTACCTTAGACAAATATTTATTTTGAAAATTGGTATCGGTAACGTGATTTATTAGTTGTGATACTTTAGAGCCTGTCATAAAAACTATTTATTTGATTTAAATTTTTTTTCTTCAAAATGTGTTGTTATAAGAAAGATAATTTTAAAAACCAGAATTTGTGGTAAGCCGTTAACATATGAACAAAAAAACCACGGAATGAATGGTTTAAATTGAGTATAGTTTGGCTTCATTAACCAGAATTATGTCTTCTTTTTCATTTATTTATTTTTTTAATAGAAATGTAATTACCATACAGTTCGATAAATACACAGTACAGTAATTTTATCTGAGTTTTTTCCAAATAAGAAGTGATTTTTGGTGCTTTTTCCGGGTGCTCTTTTTTCCGGTGTTTTTTCTGGTGTTCCTCTTTTCTCGTGCTTTTTCTCCGCTGCTCTCTTTCCGCCTGGAATTTCGTTGTATATTTATCTGCTTCACTACACATAGTATTGCATTTAATAGCGATAATCAATCTCTTCAGAGCCAAACAAAAAGAACAGTCCTGCATTCCAAAACTTTAAAAAGAATATATAAATATTAATATGATGCGAGAAGCTATGACTTTATTTTTAAATTTTGCTTCAAGTAAAGTTCAAACTGTAATGTGTTTATTCTGGGATACCTAAAAAGTTCATGAAGGAAACATTTGTTAATGCAATAGGAAAGCAAACATAATAGCTATTTTTAGGGTGTAAGATTTTTAACTAGAGAAACTTTTTTCTACAAAAATTATTTATCAAGCTCATAATTTTGGAATATGGTAAAACAACTGCTTGAGATAATATTTAGGACGTAATTCAATTAAAAGAGGACTGAAAAATGAAAAACTCTGTACTCAAATTTCGTTTTTTGTTTCTTTTACGAAAAAAAGATTTTTAATTATCAAACAAATAAAACTCAAGAACGCTTCAAGTAGCAGCCCTAGTTATAATTTAAAAAACCTAGTAATAATTTTGAAAAAAGAGTCGAAAAGCCTATAAAAATTTTTGGATTAAATTACTGTAAAATCCATATTTATCGGAACATATTACGAGATTTTGACAGTAATTACTATAAAGGCATTGAGCCACGCTAATTAAATAAATATTACTGTAAAAAATTCTGGTATAATATTTTATAGTATAAAAAGATTTCACCGTAAAATGTACTTGTCGGATGATGCACCCAAAGTGCCAGTACTTTATACCGGAATTTGATCCGGAATTTTTTACAGTGTAATCGGATCAAGCGCCACATGAAGTGAAGTGGATCACGGGAAAAGAAAGTTCTGCAAAAGAATCGAAAAAAGCCATTTTTTAATAATTATACGAATTTAAGGATCAAATTAATTTGAGCCTCTGAACTCGAATTTCAGTAATCAATTATTTATTCGTTTCTTACTAAATATGTGTTTAAAGTTTAATAGTTATAGTTTGAAGTTTTCGAAAGCAATTTTTTAATATTATATTTTTTAATGGTATGTAATACAATTACATAATATATTTATTTGAATTATTATATTGTATTTTAACAGTGATTTCTTATCGATAAATGTTGTGATAAATTGAAAAATATTAACAAAAATGAGTTTCGTTTTCATACAAAAGTTCATATAAGGAAAAATTTTAATAAAAAAGTGATTCATTGTAATAAAGTTTGTAAGAATATACACTAGTTTAAAAAATATTATGTTAATATTATTATATATGTTTAAATTATTTTATTGAAATACAATACGTGTCATTTTATTATTTTTGAATTTAAAAAAATGTTAGAGCTCTTAATAGAATAAATCAATTTAAGTAATATAAATAATAGTTAAATAGTATAAAATGTGGATTAATAAATTTTTTAAAATACTCAGTTTTATTTACATTAATATTTAAATACATTAAATTCGGGTTCAACACTTGAATCAAAACGCGTGTTAAATTATTATCTGTCTAATGGATACTACATCAGGATTAATTCTTGCCCAAATTACTTTTATTTTATTAAGTTTAACTCTCTTTTTCTGTTGAACTATCAGCAGATAGTAAAAAGTAATTTTGTTTACAGTTGCATACTATAATTGAATAGTTTTAGTTCTGTGTGTGCCAATTTTTACATCATTGTCTCTCTATATTAAAAAAAATCATAATTCGTAATCGTAATCGCATTTTGTTTTGCTTCCCAAGAATATTTAGACTTAAATTTTGAAATTGTAGGATGTATCGAAAAAATACAGAGAAGTACGATGGAGAAATTTAACATTTGATAATTAGTTCAAGAACTGCTAAACTTGTATTAAAAATATCAAGTGGTCTGCTCTATAGACCACAGAAAAGCAACAACAGAGTTAAAGTTTGTCGAGTTGGAAGAGCCATGCTTGTAAATAAGATTATTCCATAAACTCGATTTTTTAATATTGTCCACTGACATTACCTCATTAAATTACGCCTGCATATTGTATTCTTCCTATAATTTTTCCATTGTTTTGATTCTCAATCGAAATTAAAGTGAATAATTTTGTTTAATAGCATTTTCATTAAAAGACAGCATATCCACGCTGAGAAAAAAATATGGTCAAATCTACCAGAACATAATAACATTTACCGTGTTTCTGGCTCTATGAAAGCACCAAATATGGAATAATATGGGATGCAATTTGGTAACATTAAATAATTTGGTCATGATATCTAAGAGCATGGCATAGAAACCATTTATTCGATTACATTTTAGGCATGCCTCCAAAACTGGTATGTTAAAAACGCTAGCCAAATGTGACCCACAAGCTTTTCAACTATTAAAACTTATGTTGGCTATGGTAATTTTGTTTCATACTTGTCCCACGCTTAGCATATTTTATTTATCTATTCTCCTTTCAACGAAAAGAAAAAATTGTGCATAAATATAAATTCGAAATATGTAAAGAGTAAACACCAATGGCGTGCGAAGGAGTAGTGTGCAATCATTGGAGGGCTAAATGAATAAATAAATAATAATAATAATAAAACAATCTATAGGAAAAAACATTTGAGAGATTTTGATTCGTAAAAATTTAAATTCAGATTTGAAACTCATCTTCGTATAAATATATGTGGAAATCGTTCTATGGAAAAAAAATCATTTTCTGCGTAATATTCTGGAGTTTTCCTTAAAAGTAACGAATATTCAAAGTTAACAAATCTAAAACTAAAATACTGAATTGGTTTGAAAATCACATAAAAAATAAGATTCTTTGGTCAATTGGTCGAGATAAATATTTTTTTGTTAAAAGAAAAAAAAATTATTTTATAATTTTTGGAATTAAGAATTTATTATTATGAATTTAATATTTTGAATTTAATTTTATTACTTTAAAAATTTGATTTTGAATGATAGTAAAAGGTTTTAAGTTTTAGTGCCTTTTGTTTCAAACAAGCTCAGACATTCCTTTGACTGGATGCTTGAGTCCCTTGGTCCCTTAGCCCAAAAATTGTTACCAACGAATACAACGATTCATTGGTAATAAAGTTTCCTCCAGCAGCAAAAGTTATGGAGACTTCAAAACTTTTAAAACTTTTTAAGAGATCGTGATAAAGCAGTTGTATCAATTTTACTCATGCAAAATGTGTATCAATTTAAATGAGTATAAAAGGTTGAATGCTTCATTCCTATTTTTTTTTAAAAAAACTGCCATTTATTTTTAAAATAATCTCATATTTTTAGTATATAAACTGCCATTAAATGAAATCTGTTTCTACCATTTCCAGCAAATAAAGAAAGGCGTTTTCTTTTAGAAATTTGTGAAAATAAGAGAAAATTAAAAATTTTATTTATTGAATTATAGGTGATAGTTTACTGAATAGTTTTGTGCTTATTTCACGTATTAAAAAGATTATGATTCACTAATAATCACAATTTCTTTGTCAAAATTTGAATTCTATCCTTCCATAAATAATAGATCGTATAATTACTGTTCCTTTTGGTCAGCATTAAGTTTTTGTGGTTCAAAACAATGTTATTTTTAAGAGCTTTGATAGAGATCTTCAAAATCAATACTAAAAAAACGGAAGAAAGAGAAACGGAGCTCAAAATTTTCCTACGCATTGTGAAAAATTATGGTAAAAAGTACCGGAACCGTGAGTGTCACTACCTTTTACCGGAACATGCAGCAGAACAAAAAAATATGATGTACCGAAATTTTTACAGTAATAAAAACCGTAAAATCACTGAATAATTAAATAGATAATATAACAAAAACTGCGGTATAATATTTTACTGCAGCTTTGATCTTCCTCCAGCTAATCTAAAAGCTTTGATGGCGATTTTCAAAATCAATACTAAAAAAAAAAAAAAAAAAAAAAAAAAAAAAAAAAAAAAAAAAAANAAAAAAAAAAAAAAAAAAAAAAGGAAAGAAAAATGGAGTTTAAAATTTTCTTACACATTGCAAAAAATTACGGCAAAAAGTACCGGCACCGTGAGTGCCACTACTTTTTACCGGAAAACCTATTTTTACCGGAACATGTTACGGAACAAAAAATCTTATACACCATAATTTTTACAGTAATAAATGCCGTAAAATCACTGAATCACTCTAATTGAAATAGATAAAACGGTAAAAATTACGGAATAATATTTTAATATAAGAAGAATTTCACGGTAAAAGGAATTTTACGGATAATGCACTCAAAAAACCAGTACTTTACACCGGAATTTTATCCGAAATTTTTTACAGTGCTGCTAAAGGAAAAGTTGCTTTTTTTAGATTTTCCATATTATTTTCCAGAGAACTAAAGATTCTTGGCGCAAAATTACATTCTCTAGCTTCTACGTTCTGTCAAGTAAAATTGGGTAAAGCATGGACACATATGTGCATAATACATACATATAACTATTTTACTTAGTTAAACGCTCATCATACATACTTAAAATTCCGAAAAACATTTCCGGGGTTCGTAATGGTAGCTTACAACCATTCCTTTTAAAAAATCATTAGATTTATCATCTGTTTCATCTGCCATGGCGATTCAACCTCTACAAAAAATAAAATGAGAGCACATTTACAAAAATAAATAAATACGAAATAAATAAATAAAGTATTTAAATCATGAAATAATAATTGCACAAAACAAATAATCATTCCATGAAAAATAAATAAATAAATACTCTGGTAAGAATTTTGTGCCAGAATTAACTGAAAGTAATTTTTCAAGAAACTTATGTTACATTTCAGAGAGTTAAAAAAAAGGAAAGCATCCGAAAAAAATAAAGCAAAAAATTGGCTTGAGACTTAGTAATTTTAAAGAAATTAAGTAAATAAAATTTGGTGAAATTCTTCCCGAATCTATTTTATCTGAATTTATTCATTTTATGCCCTTAATTTATGTAATATTTTATGACCTTAAATTTATTTTTTAGTTAATGAATTGCTTTTTTTCGCGACTTTTTTTCCAGCACTTTTTCAACGGACTTTTTCTTCCATTGCTTCCTTTTTTTTTTTTCTCTTCTATTTTCGGAATTGCATGGCATAAGTGAGCCTACTCAGTACTTAAATGTGATTATAGAATCTAAAGAATGATTTGAAATGAAGGATTGCAGTTTCATCTAAAAATTTCATATCAGTAGATAAGCAAATCCTCTTTTTTTTAAATTGAAGATGTTAGCTGCTGAAAAATTCCATGAAAAGCATTTTATTTTGTTAAAATAACCGAAATGTATAAACAAACTCACTTATTTAATTGTTCTTAAAATTGATTGAAATTATTATATAATTTCTATTATTATTTATTATTACCGAAGAAAGACATAAAAATAAGTCTTAGTACCGAAAAAAACAATGAAATTTCCTTGATTAATACAATTTATACAGTTCCATGATTAAAATNAAAAAAAAAAAAGAAAAAGAAAAAGCTGAATAGATTTTTAAATATTATTTTTAAAATAGTAAAATAGTATTGTAGTCAAGCAAAAAGTTTTTAGTCGGGTGCACAAATTAATGACATGGAGTCTTAAATTATATTTTTGATGAAAGTAAGTGTACTCTGGTAAGAATTTTGTGCCAGAATTAAATGAAAGTCATTTTTCAAGAAACTTATGTTACATTTCAGAGAGTTAATAAAAGGAAAGCATCCGAAAAAAATAAAGCAAAAAATTGGCTTGAGACTCAGTAATTTTAAAGAAATTAAGTAAATAAAATTCGGTGAAATACTTCCCGAATCTATATTATCTGAATTTATTCATTTTATGCCCTTAATTTATGTAATATTTTATGACCTTAAATTTATTTTTTAGTTAATGAATTGCTTTTTTTCGTGACTTTTTTTCCAGCACTTTTTTCAACGGACTTTTCCTTCTATTGCTTCTTTTTTTTCTCTTCTATTTTCGGAATCGCATGGCATAAGTGAGCCTACTCAGTACTTAAATGTGATTATAGAATCTAAAGGATGATTTGAAAGGAATGATTGCAGTTTCATCTCAAATTTCATATCTGTAGATAAGCAAATCCTCTTTTTTTTAAATTGAAGATGTTAGCTGCTGAAAAATTCTATGAACAGCATTTTATTTTGCTAAAATAACCAAAATGTATTAACAAACTCACTTATTTGTCTTAAATCGATTAAATTGTGTAATTTTGTAATTTTTAATTAAATTAGGTAATTTTTATTAATATTAATTGTCACCGAAGAAACGCATAAAATCAAGTCTTAATACCGAAAAAAACAATGAAAATCCTTAATGCAATTTATACAGTTCCCTTACAAAAATTAATTTTCATTTCCATACTGAAAAATTCTTATAAAATTTTGGATTCCTTCTATCTAGATGAAAACCACTATTTTGCAAGTTCAAAAATGCATCTAAAAGAAATACTTCTTTTCCGGAATATGCAAATCAGAAACGGGACACCTTTTAAAGAGCGAAACGAATAAACATAACAAAAAAAAGCGAACTCCGAATCTTGAGCAAACTATCGTCTGCTGGAAATTACTCTCTTCCGTCAATAACGCTCCGAGAGTTTTCAGAAGTAATTAAAGTGGAAAGTCATTAAAACGCACACGATTCTGGGTGCGAACCGAGCCTCATTAGGGCGATTAAGAAGCGCTTTTAATTAGGACTCGAGAAGCTTGCTTCGTCTCTAATGGTGTACTTTCGTTTAACTTATTGCAGAGCGCAAACAATTCTTCCGTTTGAGTTTGCGAACGATATTTTCAAATTAAAAGTATTACCAAAATTAACAGCTGGAAAAAATATGTGTGGAAGGTGTCCCTCGATACGTAAGAATTGCATTTACCGAGTCAACGTTTACTCTGCGATTCATTTAAACTGTTTGAACTGTCTACTAGTTGAATTAATGAAGAAAATGTCGCTATCTCATTAGCAAAGTAAGATATTTAATAATTTATGGCTCCAATTTTTAAATTTTCAATATTTGTCTTAGAACCGTTTGACGCCAAGAAATTAATTTAAGCTATTCCCTTTTTTTTATAAAAAATATTTAAATAAACGAGCATATTTATTTTATAAATGTTTTAAAAGATAAATATGCTCACCGGGCTAGTCATTCATTCAGAATTATATTTTTTTAAATTGCTGAATTATTTTCGCAATAAATAATTAAATTGACAATTATTTGAAAATAATTATTAATAAGTCTGCTTCTCTTCTTTAGTAAGCTTTTTAATACTTAATTATGACTTTTTTTAATTGCTGCAATTCAGTCCAGTAGTTAATTTACTTCATTACTCTTAAAATTATAGAAAATATTTACTTCTTCAAAATTCAAAACAACGCTTGTTTAACATTTATACACAAAATCATTGTTTTTCTGTTTTTTTTGTTTTTTTGTTCTATTTCATGTTAAAAAAAATTGAAGTGGAAAATTCAGATTATCTTTAAGTTTAAAGAAAGCAAAAGAAAAAAAAATGAGACTAAGAAATTTTTCAGATTAAAAGATTAAAAATAATAATAATAATCAGGTGAAAACTTATTTACTACGCCGAGACAAACCCTTTTCAAACCTTATAGATTAATACATTATTTAAATCGTCCAGTATTTGATATATTTTTGCAAATATTTGGCTGATTATTTGTTAAAGGCCTTCCCCTAAAAAGATGCATTTGTTGGTGAGTTAGAACTACATTGAATCAGAATCGGAATTTTATTATGCCAAATAATGTTATTCTGTTTTCTCTTGTAATTGTAGGTTTTGGAAAAAAAAGAGCGAATAAAGTATATAATACAAAATATTAAATGCCTTAAAACGAATTTTGTGTTAGAAGCAGCTAACCTATTATCGATAGTCTTGCTGCCCCGGTGGAATGTATAATATTTTCAAAATAATAATAAGAAAATTCTGCGTTTATGCTGCGTATATCTTTGATGCTGCTTATACGCGTAAGAATGCGAGCTAAAATTATAAAATTCAAAACTCCCTCTGTTTTTGAGATGGTTTTTATGATTTTTTGGAAAAAAATTTAGTTTGTATTCGTAAAATTCAAACATATTTAGCTCATAAGAATTTTTTTTTTATGTCTAATTTAACACTTGTACATCTCTATCTGTATAACTAAACGCATAATTGATAGAAATGGTGCTTAGTATTTTTGCTCTCAGGAATTATATATTATTCAATGTAGGAAACCTTACAAACAATTTTATAAATAGAAAGTCGTAAAATCTCATTATATTTTATTATACCATTATATCTCAAAATAGCATCAGATTTAGAAATTTGCTCATTAAAAACAAAAACCCTTATGTGTGTTGACTTTATTAAGAAATTTATAAGTTTAACAATAGGTTTTATTTACTGCGCATTAGCTGCAGGTATATAAAACTGATAAAATAAGGTAAAAATATAGAAAAAAATATAAAAATAATAATGATTCATGAAAAGAGAAGAAGAAAATTTATTAAAATGAAGTAAAATGAAATTATTTAAGTAATTTTTCTTCTCCTTTCATTAACCTNTTGACTTTATTAAGAAATTACTGCGCATTAGCTGCAGGTATATAGAACTGATAAAATAAGGTAAAAATATAGAAAAAAATATAAAAATAATAATGATTCATGAAAAGAGAAGAAGAAAATTTATTAAAATGAAGTAAAATGAAATTATTTAAGTAATTTTTCTTCTCCTTTCATTAACCTTTTTTATTTTCTTATTCTTAAAATTAGTGGAATTATTAATGGAACTATGAATAAAAATAAATGATTTATATTAATTTTCATTTGTCTACTTTTGCATATAAATAAACGAAAAAAATGAGATGTGACCGTCATTAGGATTTATTTTCAGTAAGAATTTGTAAGTGGATGAATATAAATCTGAAATATAGTCTCATGAGTATTAAAAGAATTTTTTTTAATTAACTTTAAAGCTTTCAAAAAAATAGTAATGACAATATTTCCACTTCTTTTTCAGATTGTATATTTTTCCTTTAGAAACATATCACATTTCGATTTTATCAGCATATCACATTCGCAATTCAGATTAACAGATTTTTTTCTTTAGAAATCTGAAGATCCGTTCAATTTTGTCTCCATAAAGCAAAAAAAAAAAATTGATAATGGCAAGAGGAATGTAATAGTAATGATAATGGTAGTAATAAATGATGAATATCGTTTTTTTTCGGAATATCATAAGATCACATTAAATTTTCTTAGTGAAATACAATGATTACGAGATAAGAATTTTCTTTAACGCAAAAATAGTTTTTTATTTATTTATTTATTTACTTTTCTGTAAAAAATAAATTAATAAATTTATGGAAAATAANTTTTTTTTTTTTTTTTTTTTTTTTTTTTTTTTTTTTTTTTACCCATGAAAAGAATTATTTCTTATTTAAAAAATTAATTCAAATTTTCAAAAATGTTTTGTCTACTAAATCCACATAAAATTAAATCAATTCAATTTCAATTAAAATTATAAATTATTTAGTACTCAATCACACTTAAGTTATTTAGACAAAATAAAAACCTAGAAATAAATAATGTTAAAATTATTGCTGCTAATATATACATTATTTATGGCAAATTTAACATCATATTCAAAGTTTTACAATAATAAATAAATGGAACATTTTATACAAAATCAAATAACTTTTTTTTTCATTTTTGCTGAAATTATAACTAAATAAAAAATACAAAAAGAACTAGTGAAGGATTCTTGTTTTAATTACACTAAGCAAATTTTAAATTACAGTGATTGTAAAATTTACAGACTTTTATTACCAATGATGTCTTTTTCAAAACTTTTAAAACTTTTATAATTGTAGTTATAAACATGGAAATATTTTTAACTAGATTCCATATATGCATCTAGATTCCATATATGCATAATTTTAAAGTTTCTAAATTTTATTGTAATAAAAAATATTCTAACTGTATTTGAATCCCTTTTTATTACAGTAAAACATCGAGATCTCAATGCGCAATTAAATAATTTTTTTCTTCATTTTACTATTGCTTAATTCTGACAACAGTATAACAATAAGACAATAACTGCGGAATATTTAATAAAAAACCAGATAATATTTTTTTAAGTTCCCAAGCTATTTAAATCTAGATTAAAGTTTTAGTTTAAAATAAAAGGCTTTATGTAAAACCAAATAAATTTGGTCAAATTGCATTACTGGACAATTTTAAGTAATTTAAATGGTATGCAGCATTTTAAATTTATACAATGCTTTTATCAAATTTTTTAAATTACATTTATGGTTAAACTATGATTTATTTGGTTAATCAAACTAGCATATGATATTAAATAACGCATAACAAATAATTTTGTAATTCAGATTGCATTACGCAATGTTTGAATGATCCCCAAAGTTTGACTTCGGATATTTTCCAACTCTTCTCCCTCATTGGTTAGAAATCATGGAATATTGTATGACAGATAGAACATTTCATCCTTGGGAGTTTCTATTCTATTTCTATTGCAGTGTTCTCTCTCCCCTCAAAATAAGGGGTCCTACAATATTGCTGTCAGGTGGGCGTTTACAAGAGGGGAAAGTATTAACGGTTCTACAGCCCTAGTTGGCTGCTTGGGGCTGAGAAATAAATGACCATATGGGGAGTTGGAAACATATGACAGCCATTAAGGACATCCGGCCACGAGCCCTGCAAAAGATTGACCAACTATCTGATTGAATTATTTGCAGAACAGCCTTTGATCGGAACAGGTAAATATATATAGATTTCTTGCATGACTCATTTAAAGAATGGTTCTTTAATCACATCTTTGAAATGAAATATCTGTTTCTAAAAATAAGTTCTAAATTAGCAATGTTTAATAATTTCATTGATTACTTATTTACTTTCATAAAAAAAATCAATTTAAGTATTAATTAGAAGTAAATGACTCGTAAAAAAAATTAGGAATTTCGAAGAAGTAGTAGAAGCTGCTATGTTTGTATTAAAAATTATGAAATAGAAGAAAGAAGTTATAATTGTAAGCTTTCTACTCTAAAACTCCCTAGGTGAAAAAAAAATGAGGCAATTTAAAACTGTTTTTATAAATAAGTAGAAAAATTTTACAACAAACTCAAAGTTATTGCTAAAGAATTTCAGAATTTTTATTTTTTAAAGAAAGAGATAATATTTAAAAGATAAAATTATTTTTCAATTCTGACAAATACTATTTTTTTAAAAAAAAATATCACAATTAAGAGTTATAAGTTAGTTAAATATTCAATGCAACTAAATACTTAAAGTATCAATAAACTGAGTTATTTCAAAGCAGCTGTACTTTAAAAAAAAATGATTAAAATCAGTATTTTGAAACTAGTAAATATCAAAAAATTAATTTATGAAATCAATAGCAAAAGATTGATCGTTCTTCTTACTACGTTTTTTTTAAAAAAAAAAATAGTTTTCAAACCTATTTTCAGAACCCATTCTTGGGCCAGGATTGTTAAAGGCTACACTAAAAAATGAAGTGGCCAAATTTGAAAAAGAAATTCAAATATCTTTTCAAATGTTTTTCTGCATAAAAATCCAATTCTTCATGGGAAAATTTAAAGAAAATTAGTAATATTTTTTGATCTCTTCATATCTTTTACTAATTTTTTTAAAACAATCTCAAAATGATATCTTTTGTGTATTTTGAGTAAGAACGAGAGGTTTTTTAATTATTTATTTTATCTGTGATTATTTTCATTATATTTTTTTTATTATTTTCAATTAATTGAATACTTTTTTTGAACTATAATTTAAAAATATCTTTAATAAGAAGAAAATACTGTTTCCAACCAAAAACATTTTTTCTTCTAAAAGTATTTATTTGTTTGGTGTAATGTTTTTGTGTAATTACTTATAACCTATAAGAAAAAGTAAAATTCATTTTTATACATTATCTAAAAATAAAACTTAATTTTTGTTAGTTGTGATAAATTACATTTTTGTTTACATTATCAATTAATTGTTTACATTATACAATATATTAACATTATCAATTATGTTTACACTAGCAATTTCTTTAACATAGCCTAAATTTTTATAAGCATCATAGTTACAGAAAAAAACATTTGATATGATAGATATTTAAAAAAAGGTTCTTTCCTTACAATTTACATCAAAATATATTCATTCCAATCTTGACAGTTGTTGCTATGTATAGTTTGCTATACAAAAGGTATCGCATAATATATAGTTAATACTTTGCTCGTGACTGTTTAAGAGGAGTTTTAGCACTGATTTTTTAAACAATTTTATAAATAAAAAATTATCGATATTGTTTTGATAAAAGTTTTTCAATTTTTTGAATTTTTCATTCCTAAAACAAAAATAGAGTTACTTTCTTAAAATAAAAAAAAATAAAAAAAACGTATCAATATTTTTATATTCATTAACTAAGAGCATGCAAAATAAACTAATAATAAATATTTCGCTTCTTTAAATAATAATGGAAAACTAGATCATACATCAAATAGCTGTAAGATATTTACTTCCTTTAAACTTTTGTTTCAAAGTTTAGTAAATTTGTTTTATTTAAATGTTATAAGTTTAGTTTTTTTTACAAGTAATTTATTATGAATAAAATACAACACGATTTTCACAAATTTTAGATTTACATGGAATGTTTTTTTCCTCGAATCTATTAATTTTTGTTCCAAAAATTTTATAGATCCTTTAACGTTAAAATCTTATCGACTCATTTTTGTTTAGAGAACTTTAGCAGGAATAATATTCATTATTATTACTTTACTTATTACATTTCAATATTTAAAATATTTTGAAAATTTTTACTTCAACAATATATTTAAATACTTTTATCATGCAAAAAAAATTTCATAATTGTGAGAAAGGAAGGATTATATTTATAAATTATTTATGCCTCTTTATGCTTGCGTAAAGTATTTCTTTTTGATCAAAGACGCATTAAATAAATCAAATTTAAGCAAATATGTTAAACTTTTTAAAGAAAAAAAAAACATTTCTGAAACTGTTTTTTTTAAAGTAATTTAATAGTAGATTTGCATTTGATATTTAAGGTAATGCCTACATTTGCATTATTTCATAAAAAAAAACAAGAATATTAATTTTTACTGAATGTTCGTTGAAATTTTAATGCATTGTATTGCTTTAATATTTTTTAATGATTAATTTGTTTCTTGTTCGTAATGTTTGATCAGTTTGGAATACAAAACAGTCAATAGACTTTTTTTTGTGGCATGGAATTATTTGTTTGTTTCGACTAGGAACTTTAAATCGAATGTACCATTATATAAAATTATAATAACACATAATGTTTGAAAAATCAAATTATCTATCAACACAATGTGTCAAACTGATGTTATATTTTGGTTCGTAGAGTAAACATTGTCTTTAAACCAACATTTGCTTTTTATCAAAAATGTTTAACTACATTAACTGTGAACATGTAACAGGCATTTTGCAAAAAATAAACGTAACATCATAATAATTTTTATCAGAATTTTTAAGTTTGTATTTTCATTTTTTATTTTCCTCTCTTTCCTTTAAATAAAAATTCAAGAAATAGCAACAATTTGTGAGACAGAAAACATAAAAATTGACGCTTTTATATCAGAGCTTATGAAAACGAGTAAAAGTGATTAATAAGTTCGAAAGTAGGTTATAAATTTCTCATATGAATATCTACAAATAACTAAAAATAGATAAAACAATAAGAATAAACCTGAGAAATATCATGCTAAAAATAACAAATATTTGACAAAAGTATAACAGAATTTTTTAAAGTAAAAATAATTTCCAAGAATTATTAAAAAATATTCAGACAAATTTCTTTACCAACTTATCATAGTACCCATGCAAGGTTACAATAATATTATTGTCATAGGCCAGCATAATGTAATAAATTTTTAAAATATTTTTCACTTACAAGTTATGTTAAACATATACTGCATTTGCTTGATTTAAAATCTCCCTAAAAGCTTCTTGTTCATCTGAAAATAAGAAGGAAAAACATGTAATCATTTCTAATTTTTTAATTTATATATTTTTAAATATATTGGTATATGATAATTGATAAACAATGAAATCTTAAAAAGGTGAAACGCCTGCTACTAAGCAAGTGTTTTAACAAGTTGTAATTAATTATCACAAAAAATGCGAAACAATTGAAGCTAATTTTGCTTTGATGTAATATTTTGATTTAAAGAAAGTATCTAATTTTCTCATTGTCTAAATTAATCCAACAAATTAGCACACATATTATGTTAATGACGTGAATGTTGATGTTTTACTTACCTTGGAAAAATTAATTAATTGAATTAATTGATTTTAAGTAGACAGTTAGGTATTATTTAAAAATAAAATTTACGAATACAAAATTTAGAAGATATATTATTTATTATTTTTTAACTTATAATAACTGATAACTTAATAACATATTAACTTTAAACTAAATTTAAAATCAAAGTTAAAATTTTGCACAATTTTCGGAATTTTATTGATTCTTCACTAGTACCCTTTAAGCTTCATACCGCATATGCAGAAAATTTCCCTACTATTCTCTGTATTGCAAAGGACTCAAAAGATAAAGTTAACCTTGTTAAGGTAGTTAGCCTAGTTGTCGTAAGACAAACATTGGGTAAAATCTCTGTAGATTAAACTATTATTATTTTCATCTTGTGAATATACTGACTAATATCAAGTGTCAAACTGGTGAGAAATTCCATACCTTATGAATGTATAATTATTAAAATTGTTAAGATAACACTTATAAAATTGTTTAAAATAATGTTAATAAATTAAATGTATAAAATTAAAATTGATAAATAAAGAAAACAAAAAAACACACATTGTTAAACGCTTATGATAACTCTATTAGTAAGCAAAATTAATTCTAAGTAAAAAAAATTTCTTTTTTAAAATACATATAAATGCAACAAAATATATTTAACTTACATTTATTTGTAAATAATGTATTTTTACTCATTACGAATTTTATTTACTTATAAGTTAGAAATTAACAATAAAGAAAAAATATGTGCACAATATTTTGAACTTATAATAGCTTTATTAATAAAAAATTATTAAAACTTTATTAAATTAAAACTCTATTTAATGGAATAAAATTTATGTTTAATAAAGAAATTAAGCATTACATTTAAAAGAATCACGAAAAAAAGCAACGGAAAAAACCCCCGATTAAAAGAAACCGGAAAAGAGTGCGTGTAATACCACAAAAATACAGAATCATTAAGTTTTGATGTGAATAATTAAAAAAAAAAATTACGACTGTTTAATGACACATAATTTTAAATGCTCGATTAAAGTCATGACATGACCACGTATTTTGAGATTTTGATCTGAAATAAGAGTGTGAATAGTTATACAAATAATTATTTAAACTATTGAAGAGAAATGGGACTGAAAATACAGTCGAAGTAAATAATCTTAAGTTATCTTTAATCAATATCAAGGTCACATAAGTATTAATATACAATTAACAGGTAAACGTAATTCTAACTAAGCAAAAAAAAGTTTTAATAGCAAGTGTATCTTAAATATTTGTAAAAAAAGATTTTTTTTTATTTATGTCGAATTTAATTTTTGTTTTATAAACATTACTTTGCAAATTATTATTTAATGTCAGGTAAGAAGCAATAATAGCATTTCGGAAATACCCATTATATAAATATAATCAATGTTATAAAATTCCACTGGTAATTATTACTTTCAAGTATTATTATTGAAATAAGTTTCTTATAAACTAGCTTCTTATGAATTTAGTTTGTCATAAATTTGCATTAATTTTACATTAAATTTGTTTGTTTTTTTTACACAATTTACATTAAATTTGCATTTGTTTCTTATAAATTTGCTTTCGTACAAGCGTAATTGAAATTATTTATGAAAGTATGGTAAAAGAATGCAAAGAAATTCTATACTTAAGCAAAATTAATTTAATTAATCTAATTTAGTAATGATATATGTAATCTATAAAGCGATTTTCTGACGCTTTTTCTTTTGGTGCTTTTTCTCAGGTGTTCTCAGGTGCTCTTATTTCCACCTACCGTTTGAATACCTTTGTTGTTTGTTCCTTAATAAGGTGGTAAAAAACAATTCGTACATTGCTGCACACTTCCAATGACTTTATTAACAAAAAAAGTTCTTTTTATGTAAATTAAATTTCACTTTATAATTTACGTATGCAAAAGATATTTAACTTTATGAATAAATCATTTTCAAATAAGTTGAAAATTATTAAATAAAGTAAAAAATATGCACACAATTTTAAAACTTTATGAGGAAAAACTGTATTTTTAAGATAATAAAATTTTATTTAATTGAATAACAGTCATTTTTAGTAAAGAAATTACGTATTACATTTTAGTATCTTCGCCATGAATTCCTTGAAAAGATGCGCATCCGAAAATCTCAATACGTAATAAATTATTATTTAATAATTAGAAATAATTTTCTTATTAACAAGCTTTAAATAATACAGTAACCAATATGATTAGTAATGTATGACATATCATAAAGAAGTATTGTTGTTTTAATTGTTGTAAATGTCAAATAAACAGAATGAAAAAATGTATTATTATTGAGACTTTATCTTTCTAATAATAATATTCTAATAATATTCTAAATAAATTGAACCTTGAGTTAAAACAAGGATTTAAGAAAGCATCTTTTGAAAAAATGACTTATAAAAAATATTAAGTACTAAGAAAAATAAAAATACGCATTAAGAAAAACAACAATATAGTATTTCCATAAAATATACCGACTCATATAGTCTATAGTTAAAATGTTCTTAAGTTTATAGCTCTGATTTCATATATAATAAAAGAGAAAAGAAATAGTTTAAAAAATATATTTAAAAAAAATACATATATTTTAACGTTATATATTTAATTTCTCATTTTTGTCTTTTAATTATAGAGATTATAAATAATGTAACGAAAATTATTAAGAGTTAAATGTCTTACGAAGTTTTCTGGTAGTTTTGAAAAAAAAAAACATTAGTTTGTTATAAAATTATAATAACTCATAAATTTTTTTCTGTCCTATTAATTATGATTTATAACAAATGCTTGCATTCATAATTACTATATTAATTTACTTCGTAATTTTTACATCAAAAATAGGATCTATTTATTACTTTCCAATAATTATGACATTTTTGTCTTATAATTTTAAAAGTAGTAACTAGGATTTTGTGTATTCACTTTTTATTTGAGAAACCAGATGTTTTTTCTATATTATTCTTAGAAAATCAATTGACCTTTGAGATCTGAAAAGGCAATGAAAAAAAATGAATCTTCAAAAAAAGTAATTGGATAAAAGTAATTTTTTTTCGTAAAAATATTATTTTTAAACAACTTAGAGGTTCAATTTTTTACAATATTTTAAACTTAATCTTTATTTCCACTTACAAACAATAAAAAGATAGTTTTGTTTTATTAAAATAACCACACTTCTTTTAATGTTATTACTGTAACAACCCTTTTATTGTAATCGTTCCGATTTAAAATGTTAGCTTAAGTTTTAAATAGTATAACATTAACATATCTCGTTTCATTTTGATTATAAAAGATAGGATTGTTAGTTTGAGTTAGACTTCATTTACCTATTAAGTTTTTGAATTACGTTTTGTGTTCTGTGGATTTTGAGATTGTTTCAGATGTTAATTTCTTTTCTTCTCTTTTCTTTTTTTATGAAAAAAAGGAAGAAAAGATTCTATTTTTATCTATTTATTTACTCATTTTTGAGAATCAATAAATTTACAAAGAGGAGAAATAAAAAACATTCTTAAAAAGACTAACGTACAGCCATTTCCAACAATCGAAAAGTAAGCTTTAATAGCAAATTAATAAATACAAACTATTATATATATCTGCAATTTAAGCTCCAATTTTTCTCTTAGTTTGATTGGCCATAAATGTCCACATTCGTAATGTTCTTCTAATTATTTATGTCCTGTTCGGGATCTATTATCCTCCTCTTTTTACCTGAGCACACCTTTTTGGGTGGTCTCGGACGTTACTTTTACCCAATGGCGCGTTTAGAAAAATAACCCCAACACAATAGGAAGATATACAAGTTTCCTCACTGGTTGTCTGGCTGTACAACTTTTCTGAATCTCTTTAAAATGAACAATGGCCCGAGGTTTATTTACATCGTGTTATGGCCTACGTGATGTGAATGTTGAAAGTTTTCTCAACGTGTTACCATGTTGATGTCGCACACCCTCCATCAAAAACCTGCTCTGCGTGTCGCAGGAATAGGACCGTAACTTTATATTAGTGCTTCTTTTTTTCTTTTTTTTATGTATAATTCGCACCTCATAAAAGAGTGGAACGTTTATCGCCTCATAAAATTGCCATTATCTTTCATACTTAAATTCCAATTTATCAAAAGTGAATGTGATGCGACAATGATAAGGAAAAGAGGAAGTTATTTTAAAAATGTATATTTATACCCAAAATTTCATTTATTTATATTTTTTCTTGAACTATTAAAAATAAACAATGGATTTTTTTCGGCATGAACAGAAAAAAATAAAGATTTTCATTTTCTTATAACTCTGTACAAATGTTATCCCTTTATATATTAAAATATTGGTTATTTTCATGACTATTCATATTTCATATATATATGAAATATGAACATATATATATATATATATATATACCCGTCTTTGATGTATATTTTTAGATTTCTGTTAAAATTAGCAAATGTGTATCAATGGACTAAAAAATTATTTTAATGAGAAAATAACATTTACTAAACATGAATCTATTTTCTTAAGATTTCATTTTAATTGTTGAATTAAATCTGTGGTTAGTTTAAGTTTCTTGGAATGGTAATATAAAGTTTGTCATTGTTTCACCATTTTTAGGAAAAGATTTTTTTAAAGAACAAATCTGTGTTTAACTATTAAATATTCGTTCAATTAATTCAAATTATTCAAA